TACTGGTTTTAGCTCAATATACTGGATATTCACGTAAACAAGCTGGTCCGCCTGAATCTACCTCATAACACCTGTACATGGATAAAAGACGTCCTCACGGACCGCTCTCAATCTGTCAGGACTGGAACCCCACACAGCAGGGGCCTCATTCAAACATTGGTAGAAATATTCCTCAATTCCTTCCTGTAAACTAAATGTAGAACATTCCTACGGACGGACCGTCAAAATCCTGACTGATGAAACGTGCTGTGTCCTCTTGTACGCACGTTCTCCGCATTCCTCCGATGATAAATCCCACCTGTGCATACCCAGGTGCTAGTGTTCGTTCTCAGCCATTTACATACAGGAACGCCCTCAATTAACCAGATTTGGTCATGCCACGTCCTCAGCACGCGAGGGGATTCTCACGTTCTACTCGGAAAAAAGGAAAACTGACCAGATCGAGACACTTTCTGCCGAAGAGCAAAATAACCAAACAAGTGTCAGAGTAGGGCCGGGCAATGAATCGAAAATTTATCGTTATCAAAATTTCTGACACTTATCAGGATATTTCTTCCCACGTCAATAAATGTGATAGTAAAAAAAATCTAAAGATGTGTGTAGGTTGACAACATTCATGTCGCTTTAAGAAGCTGGACCACCTTGAGTTACGTAAAAATGTGACTCAACATTATACACGAGACAGCCCCATCTAGTGGACAACTTTTGTTTCTGCACATACCTGTAGTTATCGTCCATTTATCGTTATCCAGATGAAATCCTCAATATATCGTGATATTGAGTTTAGGCCATATCGCCCAGCCCTATGTCAGAGGTTATAAACGTGGTCGGGACAGACGAGAGGTTCCTGTCAGCAATAAATAAAAACTTTAGTCTGATCAATCGGAGAGTAACGGGTTGTCATTTACATTTAATGAGTCGTTCTGGATGGAGTTCGTTTTATTTAGAAATGTCTGAGTGCAGCCTCTTAGCAGTCATTCAGACTGGTTACCATGACAACATGTGTGTGATCGAGGAGCAGAGGAGGTTGTCGTAGATGTAAAATAGAACGTGGACTGGAATCGGATTTGTGTGGTTCATCCACAAAGGATCCCAAATCCCAGCACAGCTCCAGATGGAATATTTATTTATCGGGTAAAATTATTAGTGGCGGAGGAACGTGTGTGGATGACTGAGACCTTCAGTGTTGCGGTTCCCCCGTTCTACCACTAGATGCTGTTCCTACACATGGTCTGAAGTTTTCTTATGTTTAGGAACATAACTATGGTACAAAACGACCTGCTGGCGACTGACCGGACAGATGGACAGACGGGGATTTCAGGGTGTTTAGTTTTAACAGTATCACTCAAAACATTGAGCCACTATTGAATAGGGCAGCAACGATTCATCGACGTTGTCGACAAATACCGACAACACAAATAGTCAATTAATTTCGTTGTCGCCAGACGTGTTTTTTCCGACCGAGTGAGGCATCTCACTTAATTACAATCTCTGCCGAGAGTCGCACGTGCGCAATAGCTTCTCTGCTGAGCGCCAGCTAACAGAAATGGCGGCGTCCGACACCGCAGCTACGCGTACCAAAACATCTAAAGTTTGGGAGCATTCCAGCCGGGATTCGGCGAATAAAAAGATGACCCGCATTATTTGCAAAGCAGTTTTTCCATATCACAGCAGCACCTCGGTGATGCATGAACACTTAAAGCACGTCGGACAGTTGAATGAAACCGAGTCTGACTCACCTCGGTAAGATTTAAATAACACGAAAGCCAACACGTTTTGTTTTGGATGGACATTTTTTTAAAGGTATTTTCGTTTTTAAAAGAGAGATGTAATGTTTTGGCCAACTGTGCCTGACAAAAGTATTTTAATTTTATTTACGCATTTATGTCTATACTGACTGGGCACTGTGCCTAACTGGTGTAAGACAGGGTATTTTTATTTACTTTAGTATGAATCGGCCTATCAGCAGCAAAGTTCAATAAAATATGCATTTTCCATTGAAGTACCAGTCTTTCTTGTGTTTATTATCATTTTTCACACACTTAAAGCAATCTCATGCTAAACGTGTGGCTGAGAAAACAAACAAATGAGGATTGGAAACATGACAGCTAGAAGGAAATCATGATGGATGCAGGAGGAAGGAAGGGAAAGGCCCACATGTACACAAGCTGCAGCGACACGCTTTAATGCGAGTTGGCAGACTGGGAGCGGACAAAAGCCGATCACAGGAACCAGTCATTCAGATCCGACGACCATTCACATTGACTGGTCACACTGCAAGGTTTCATTTTAGTCCAGTACAGGTTCTTGGACCAAAAACTTACTTCACTGATATTTAAACTAGGACAATCATGAAAGTCTCTGAAGGGTTGAAAGGCCTCTGAATCTATTTATTTGTTTAATTTGTAAATAAAACCACATCTGAGGAGCAGAAGGTGGGGTTTGCAGACACTGGAAAAAACTAGACAGAAAACACTTTCGCTAGGCTTGGGCGGGATTACCGTATTATCTTATTCAGCGGGTGTTAAAAATAGCAACGTGTCAGGTCCAACACCCTCATGAAGGCATCAGTGCATGTAGGAGACAAAGATTAAAAAAATAAACAAAAAATATAAAGAAAGGTCATTTCATGTATAAAACAGAAGCGAGGTTGAATTTTCAGTTTTAGTTTAGTTGTTTAAAGGCCCAGTGTGTGATATTTTTACTAGTTTACTATCAAATCCTGTGTTTGCGGTTCACAAACGTGTCCTTTTTCACTAATATTTCTCACCAACATCAATTCTAAATATTCCTCTCAATTTGAAATGATACATTTTTTTATCCATAAACTGTGGTCGACGCTCCACTGTCATCCACCATCTTAAAGTACAGTAGCTGTTTAGGGACATACGAGCTCCACGTTACCCGTTTGGACTGTGACTGTAACCTGAAAGAACCAGCAGAGGGCAGCAGTGTGCTCTGGAAGCATGAAGTCTGCTAATTCAACTGAGAAATGGAAAAGAATAGCTGCACGTTGCTGTACTTGTTAGTTTGAATAACAAATTAAATCAAAAGACAAATAAAATTTATCAGTTTGTCATCATGTCCAACACAAGGAAGCCGCATATGCTCAGATCCCCGCCCGCTATTAGCTGGACGCCAGCCTCCGATTAGTGTCTCTGACTCCCAAACTCACCTCAAGTTGTTCATCCGTCTTTTCCTAGTACCAGAACTCCCGACCTGGTCCCAACGTGTCTGTTCCAAAGTCCTTCTACTCAAGTCTTTATTCCCGCAGCCTGCCGTCTCGCCCAACACGCTCCTGCGCTCGTCTGCTAGCCAGTAGCTAATCAGCGTTGTTTACTTTATCGCCACAGCACTCTACTAACAGCGATGTAGCTCTCCACGTGTTACTGAGACGCTCCGACTCAGAGGGCTTCTTCTCAAACGTTACCTTTAGACTTGGGTGTCCTTTTGCTGGTAATCCGTGGGAGTTTACACACAGCATCTCCCCGGCTCTAGCCATGGCTAACTAGCAACTTGGTAGCTCGTGAAGCCGATCTCCACCACGCCAGCCATGAGCCACGATTAGCTGGTGGCTAAGTCAACATTGTTTACTTGATCTCCAGCGTGTCCTCGGCTCACCAACCCTCCTTCACCAGCTGTAGTTAACGATCAGCCGTGATCGCTCCATATCCATATAAGCTGGTAGCGGCAGCCAGTTTGTTTACATCGAGGCGCTGTGATCCACGTGAAACGGGTGTTGTGGGAAATTATGTCCCCCAAAGATATTCTGTTTCCAGTGTTTTCCTTACATAGGGGAAATCCCAGCGCCACGCCTGCAAGATCCAGCTTTATAGAAATTTTCTTTACATATTTTTTTGCGCTGTTTCCCCAAGAAGCAGCGGGAACTACTCTGTTGTTGCTTATGATCACAGCCGGCAGGCAGCAAGGAGGAGGAGGCAGGTCAGGGTGGTTACAGCTAGGGATGAGCCGCAGATAAAGCATTTTTGACGAGTACAAGCATGAAACGAGTAAAACTTGTAAATATCTATAATCATGCTGAAGAAAAATCCTCATTGGGTAACTGACTGCCTTCACACTCTGTGATTGGCCAGTCACATGGAGCGCCCGCCCCTCCCTACACACAAAACTCTGCTCCGGCCCACGCACACGCACGCACACACACGCACGCACACACACACACACACACACACACACGCACACGCACGCGCACGCACACACACACACACACACACACACACACACACAGACAGTAACGGATCTCTCTGTGCTTGCTTCACTGTTGCTCACGTTTCTTCAGAACTCCCTAGGCTTTCTTCAGCTCGCCTCTTTTTCGGTTAAATATTTAATGTTACTTTTTTCGTAACGTACGTGGTGCATTTGACAAGACAGAGCTGAAAATGGCTCGTGCATGCGTCGGTCACTGCCTCCGCTCCGGTCGAATTTTTTAAATTATCAGTAATGATCTTGGACCAAAATAAAGGGGGATAATTCAGACGCCAAGACAAATTAAATGCAAAACCCCCCTGCAAAGTGTGTCACAGAGTTTAAAACAAAAATTATTCTTGTGCAAATATTGGTGTATTCACCTTTAATACTAATTATTAAAATGCAGCAGTTGCTGGATTGGTGCAGTTCACAGTGGAGTGCATCAAATAAAACAACAAAGGTGAGACGCGTCATAATCCCCAACCCCACCAAAGAAAACAGAAGACATTTCTAATAGTTCCCCCCTCTAAAGTAAAACCTGCAGCAGAAGTGTGTGTGTGTGTGTGTGTGTGTGCGCGTGCGCGCGCGTGTGTGTGTGTAGCCTGATTCATGCAGAGTGTCTTAAAAACAGCCTGAAGCCTAAAATTAACCTCTGACCCCTCAATCAGCCACAAAAGGCACAGATGAGCAACAACATGTTTGTTTGGAACCAAAACAAAAAGCTTTTTAATGACGGACGAAACCTTAAAAAAATGATAAGTAATAATTTTGTGATCTAAAATAGTTCTCAC